TCGGCCAAAATTTCTTGAAGGCGACGACTCATTTCTCCATCGTTCCACGAGCCAGGGCAATTGTGCCGTCCCCAAATCAAAGTGCCGTCCAGCCCGAAACACAGAACACCAGACACGAACACAGAATGCAGCCAGCCTATATACGTGTTTAAACAGTAAAGTGACAGGCACACAAACCGTTGTACTGCGCATTTTTTAGATCAGCGTTGGTAGGGATCTGGACGCGAAAGTTCTTCCCATCCACAAGTGCAAACACGCCCGTCACAAGCGGTTCTCTTTCTTGCGTCTTGCTTGCCCACAATGCCTGGGTCTTCTTGGATGGCCACTGGATACGCGCATCCTTCATTGCCTTCAACGCAACAGAAAGAGCTTCTTCAGCTTTGTGCAGGACTCTGGAGAAGGTTGTGGCTGACAGACCGAAGAGCTCCTGTAGTGTCTTTGATTCCAGAGCAGCGGTGTAAAAGTGCAGAACCATGGCCAGAACAGCGTGCTTGTGGGGAATACGCGGAGGACGTCCACCACGGAATGGGTGCGACAGCACAACATACGAACGCTTGAATTGTGTTAATAGGTCCTCGAATGCATCTGGCGTGAGCGAGACTGTGGCCAAAAACGATGGCTCGTCCTTTGCAGCATATGGTATACCATGGTGAGTCCTCTTGATTTGGTATGAGTGCAGCCGACCTCACCCAATGACTCTGTTTTAGCAAACCGCGCAAGCGAAGAACATGCATCTTTCGACGGGTACGTTGCCGGCGAGTCAGGTTGGCGACCATGATGGCCATCAGGGCGCCTCTCATGGTTTGTGCCCTCGGCTCCAATTGTAAAATCGTCCAATCGATCGCCACGTTATGTCGAATTATTTGAATCTTATGCGATGGGTTTTGGTAGCACGACTTGAGCAAACATCGCACAATTCGGATCTCTGGTGATTAAAATTACCAAATTATCCGGAAGCAAACTGGTATCAAAATGGTATTTGCGAAGGTTTCGGTAGTCCCCCAAAGTCAGCATTGAGAAATGCGCTGTCGACGTCGTACTGCTTGATCTCGTAGTGCTGCGATGCCGCTAGTGCCAACACCGCACGCACAGCTACAATTCGGGCAACTGGAGAGTACGTGTCACTGAAAGCGACACCGACCACTTGCATATATCCTCGAATCACCAAACGAGCCTTGAACTTCGCTATGTTGCCGTCCTTGTCAGTCTTCTTCTTGAACACCCAAGTAGTGTCGAGCGGACGCTTGGGCTTCTCTTTGGTTTCCATCCAGGTACCATGTTTGCGCAGCGAATGCAATTCTTGTTGAATCGCTTTCTTCCTTTTGGCGGCGTCAGGGCTTGCCATTGCTTCGGAGTACGATTGTGGGGTGTCATCGACGTTGAGGCACACATCGACCACGGCTAAACTGAAGTCTTGCATATATCGTTGAAGCAGAACCGCACGACGTTTACTCCGGCGTAACAGGTGAGGTTCGTCGGGAATAGGGTCACTGTCCGGTGACCGTTTCTGACCACGTCTCCGCACGTCTGGCGCAGGCACATCAGGGTCATCATCCTGACCCGCATCGTCAAACTCATAAGGCTCCTCAAAGTCGTCGTCGTGGGGACCATACGGCACGTCTGTACATGGGTTGGGAGGCTCACCAGATTCGTCGACATGTGCGTCCTGTGAGTCCTCATCGGTTTGAGCTTCATCGCTGGGTTCTTCCACGTCTTCGGGTTCGGTCGGCTCGTCCGCATCGATAGTGTCACTCTCCATCGCATCGCCATCGTTATCCATCGCAGCTTCTTCACCTGCCGGCTCAGGAGTTGTGGTGTTTCCAGACTTCCCCTCGGAGGTAGCAGTATGCCCAATAGGCGCTGAATCCGCCGCAGAGAACTGAGAAACGTCAGGGGCCAAGGCATCAGAGGGTGCGGTCACAAAAATATCGTTCAAGAACGAATCGTCGGTCGCATGGGTGGGCGCGGCGGCAGAATCGTCGACAAACACACAGTGACGGCAATACACAACACGACGAGTAGAAATCTCCAGGACCCTGTAACCAAGGGAATCAAACCCGTGAAGGATGCACTTGGACCCGCGGTCATCGAGCTTGCGGCCTGCAGCGTTGAGCGCGAAGCACACTTGACCAAAGCGGGGGATGAATGCAATGTTCGGAGAACGCCCATAGAACGCTTCGATGGGCGTTTTGTTGCCGAGATGCGTAGCAAGTAGTCGATTGCGAAGGTACGCAGCACACTTGAGGTCATCCGACCAGTAGCCTTTGCTGAGGCCGGCATCTTCGAGCATGGCCCGGACCATCGAACCAAGGATACCACCCGTACGTTCAGCGATACCATTGAGCTGGGGGTTTCACGAGGCGTGACATGCAATTCCACGCCATTTTTTTCAAGGAACGCCTTGAACTGGCCAGCAAACTCACCACCACCATCACACTTGACATGCTTGATGCTCGTTGACCGCTGTGTCTTGAAGTACACAAAGAACTGTTCAAACGGTTCTTTGTGTGCGTCACTCTTGATACGAAGGGGCGCCACGTAGCTCAGACGGTGGTCGTGCGTGACCAAATTTAAGGCACAGGTAAATCCGTCGCGGGACGGCACACCAAAGAAGATGAGGTCGACGCTGACCACATCAGGGAGATCACTTTGGACCTTGTCAGAGAATGGCTGGCGCTTCAGGTTTGTCG